CGACTCCTGCTTCATGTACTGACTCACACCTTCATTTCTTCTTATCATTTACCTGTTCATGTTAATTTCGTGCCCTGCTTCATGTACTGACTCACTCCTTCATTTCTTCTTATCATTTACCTGTTCATGTTAATTTCGACTCCTGCTTCATGTACCGACTCACTCCTTGGTTTCTTCTTATCATTTACCTGTTCATGTTAATTTCGAGTCCTGCTTCATGTACTGACTCACTCCTTCATTTCTTCTTATCATTTACCTGTTCATGTTAATTTCGACTCCTGCTTCATGTACTGACTCACTCCTTCATTTCTTCTTATCATTTACCTGTTCATGTTAATTTCGACTCCTGCTTCATGTACTGACTCACTCCTTCATTTCTCCTTATCATTTACCTGTTCATGTTAATTTCGAGTCCTGCTTCATGTACTGACTCACTCCTTCTTTTCTTCTTATCATTTACCTGTTCATGTTAATTTCGAGTCCTGCTTCATGTACCGACTCACTCCTTCATTTCTTCTTATCATTTACCTGTTCATGTTAATTTCGTGCCCTGCTTCATGCACTGACTCACTCCTTCATTTCTTCTTATCATTTACCTGTTCATGTTAATTCGTGCCCTGCTACATATACCGACTCACTCCTTCATTTCTTTTTATCATTTACCCGTTCATGTTAATTTCGAGTCCTGGTTCATGTACTGACTCACTCCTTCATTTCTTCTTATCATTTACCTGTTCATGTTAATTCGTGCCCTGCTACATATACTGACTCACTCCTTCATTTCTTCTTATCATTTACCCGTTCATGTTAATTTCGAGTCCTGCTTCATGTACTGACTCACACCTTCATTTCTTCTTATCATTTACCTGTTCATGTTAATTCGTGCCCTGCTACATATACTGACTCACTCCTTCATTTCTTCTTATCATTTACCCGTTCATGTTAATTTCGAGTCCTGCTTCATGTACTGACTCACACCTTCATTTCTTCTTATCATGGGGCGGTGGGGTAGCCTAATGGTTAAAGCGTTTGCTCGTCACGCCGAAGGCCCGGGTTCGAATCCCCACATGGGTACAATGTGTGAAGCCCATTTCTGGCGTCCCATTCTTATCATTTACCTGTTCATGTTAATTTCGAGTCCTGCTTCATGTACCGACTCACCTCTTCATTTCTTCTTATCATTTACCTGTTCATGTTAATTTCGTGTCCTGCGCGACGTTATAGCTGATCTATTACACTGGACAATGATTAAGCTGAAACTCGGAATGTTCTGTCGCAGTTTGCAGTACTTAATGCCACAGTTACATTTAGATGGCTGGTGACTGCAAGCCAAACATATAAATGTCGCGGTTGTCGTATCTTCGGTTGCACAATTCTTCCTCCATTACCCAGCATAACCAGAACAGTGTATCTTTATTTGAGACAACACGACATCAACAGGACCCAAACACACACATTTCATTGTTTGTTTATTCTGGGTACCTGTATCGATTCGCTCCGCTACAAACTGGAATAGTCTCCATCAGGCCACATGCGTACAAACACGCAGGTCATTTTACCAACACACGCCATCAACTTCTGTCGACGGCTAATTCTGGTTTCCGACGGATGTGATTATTTCTGTTGGACTGTGTTTGTACAGCCCTTTGTCCTCCACTTGTTATAATGTCGTGTAAAGTGATTGTTTGACCACAATGCACCTGGTACAAGTGGTGTATAGGTTAAGGATGGTGTGTCCTTGAACAAAGTGGAATTTTATGATGACTACGTTAAGGCGAGGGGATTACATGTCGTGGGTATTAGTTGGGGAAGAGAGAATCACACACCCTCACCCACCCATCCACACACACACACGCACACACGCACGCACGCACGCACGCACGCACACACACACACACACACACACACACACATGACACACATCACGCAGGCGCGCGCACATACACAAACACAAACGCATACATACACATAAACGGCCGCACGCATTTCGCAGAGTTGTCTACCTTGTTTGTGCCAGAATCCTGTGATCAAATTAACATGAACAGGTAAATGATAAGAAGACTGACTGACTGAGTTTGGTTTTACGCCGCTTTTAGCAATATTCCAGCAACATCACGGCGGGGGACACCAGAAAAAGGCTTCACACATTGTACCCATGTGGGGAATCGAACCCGGCCAAAGTGGTAAGCATCTTAGACATGCATCAGTTCAACATTTCTTCCCTAATCAAGTTGACACGCTCGCAGCATCTTACCCAACACACCCAGCCGCTCATTCACACACGTACTAATAGCTTTTTCTATATTCCAGTGTATTCCTCATGTCATCATCTGACATTCAGGTTACAAGTATTCACCCGTCAAACGTCGATTATTCATACGAGACCATTTCACGTTAATTCATATAATCGATGTAATATATTACCGTTCCATTTCAAATTACGTTTGCATCTATAACAATATATCAAGAAATGGTAGAACCTTTGTTACTACACTTGCTATTCTTGCATTAAGTCACATGCTCATGGTCTCAAGTCGTAAACCTCATATAGTTAAGATTGAACTCTTGGTAAATCAAATTCTCTTATAAGCATCTTGACATAAAACTAGCAGGTTTTACCAAGTTTACCTAGGTATTAACCGGATACATTATACTCCATGTCAACGTCTTGAGAGTTCCGGTAAGTGTTGCTTCACTGATTTATAACGGGAGTTCGAGTAGGGAACTGTCTCTGGAGGGTCTGAGTCAAACTCGGTCTACATTCCGCTGTGTTTTTAGTTATCCCGTAAAAACGACCGACCTCCTCAGAGGGTTAACGCTTGCCTCAAGAGGCAGTTAATCTGTTACTCGATGGATATACTGGTTCGTTAAGCTATATTGATCTTAAACATATCTGCGACTGTTCTTTATGAGGCAATTCCTGTTGCCTGTATTCATTCCCGTGAAGTCAATATTGTGTCAGGACAAATTGTAGTTTGGTAGCTACATGCACACCGGTCGAGTGATAAATAGGTTTGTTTTGCTTACGACAGCCAGTGTAAGAAGTACATTTAGTGTGAATAATTCAACGTCTTTTCACCCTTGCATATATGAACAGACACGTATATTGAGGAGCAAATATGGACGTACAGACTTCACATTAGCGGTTTGCTTGTATGGGTTGATAAATTGGTCCCTGTTATTATCAGGTGGTAGCAAGTCAATAAGGGATTGATTGTGATCAATTGTCAATGCCCTATGATCCCAGTGGTCATATTACAATTTACTAGATTTATCGGACCCGTTGACCCACCGTATGAAGTGGCTTTCTGCGCGCCGTGATGTCAAGTCATGACTCCGATGAAAGCAGACGACAATTTGATTGTGATAGTTTTCAGCAAGGTGAATTAATAACTGCTGCCAGAATGTTATTGCGGTGTTGAAACCGTGGTCAAACAGAGTTACGAGGGTGATTGTGGATTTGGATTGTGGTATGAGCAGACGACAATGTTTTCGTCATGATGAGAAACAGCTGCCTTGATTATAGGAGGCATGAAGTAATATACAACTGTGTGCTATTCTGTGTGCGGTCTCCTACAGTAGAAGATGACTTCTATTGGACATGACAGGTTTGAATATATTCCGCTCAGCTCTTGTTCTTGAAACGAGCAGAGACGACGTTTGTGACAAGTCTTGAAACGGAGATACGAAAACATGAAATTGTTTTGAGCATTGGAGCACAAACACTGTACGTCTTTTTAAACCTGGCTGCAATCATCTCCACAAGGGACGCCGTATAAAGATAACAACTTGCTATTGATTTTCTTACCAATTATTTTCAACTCCGGATACATTTAACAGGTGTAATAATGTTCGTAATGTGGTTGTGAAGAAAGCATCAAGAAAAAAACTTCAGTGATTCCAAAAGCCTTTGAATATGTTTTGTTCACTGATGAAACTAATGTTTTGTGCATTAGAGAAAGCAGACGGCATTCAGATTGATATTCGTTTTGGAGACCGGTATAATTTGACAGTCGTTGTATAAACACAGAAACAACAACCGAGTCAGATTTCCATGTCCGGAAAGAGAGACGACATTGTGCCTGGAATGGTCATTGTTCCAGATTGAGCCACGACTGGCATTAGGGATAACGAACAGCGTTACGGAGACGTCAGCAGTTTGACACCCCTGTTTACGGCGAGTCTTACGATTGGGGATTTACGGATATCGAGGATTTATGTCCCTGATATTTACCAATACAATATTCTTGATACTAATACCTGTAAGAGACCCTCACCCGGACAACACTGCTAGCCAGGCAATGAAAACACGTTATTGTAAAGGACAATTTACGTGATTTTCACTTTGGAAGACAATTTGTCAGTGTGGACACCCTTACGACAGACATCGTCCCCCGAGCTGCGGAAAATGTGTGTTGTGTACTTGATCACATAGATATGCAAAGGATATGCCTCGGAGACAAACCTCGGGATAACAGACGGTAATAATGACAAAATCTCACAGGACAGCCTCGTAACGACTTTTGGAAAGTAAAGATTTTGTGATAATGCGTTCGCTCTTTCATAGTTATAAATGGAGATGAAGATATTTCTGTCTTTCCTAACGATATGGGAACAGTGCGGGACGTTTCCATTGTGGCTCTTGAACGTGGCGCACTCAGTACAAGGGTGCCCTGAGCAGACGACAATTATGTTCAGACTGCTCTACGAGAATACACTGTACCTGCTGCGTGATTCAGATCTGATCTAACCAACGCCTGCAGTTTCCATTAGATAAGAGTGCCAATTAACAGTTTCAAACAGATTTGACAGAGCGGAAATTGAATTTCTCGAAACCCAGAAGCACAATTGCCACATTTACATTGGTGTTGTAAGTAGTGCTGATCTAATATTCCATATATACGCTATCTGTGTTTATTGCCTGGGTCTCATCACTCGTATTCCCTGGTTCGTGATAAACGGCAATCATTCATATCTCCTCGCGTGGGTTTTATTGACAGATCATTCGGAGTATCTCCTTGAATTATTTCTTGCCAATTGAGCGATCATTGTCTGGAGTGAACTTCATTTGCCCGGCTATTGGAAGACATTGTACTTGGCTAAATACAAACACTTGTGTCTACAGCCATCGCGGCAGGTCCTGGTGTGACTGGGTTGTAATTATTTCACCCAAACAATGGGACAAAGGAGTTTGTTAAAGTTTCACATACTTTCTGATATTGGTGTGCAGCGCTTTGTACCGCCTGTGTGATTTAGCGATAAACACAATACTTGCCTTTGAAGACTGTGTTGACAGTATGAAAAACAGTATTAATCATGCAAAGATAATCGTTGCAAGCACAGCGACGCCATCTTGGTCAAAGTGTTCCAGGAGAGTTAGAGATGACGTTTCTGAAAACAACCCGTGTACCTAAAATGATACGATTTTTCTTCCGAGGATGCACCGTTTCAGCATGTATTCAACATCTTGTCAACATGCGAAGCATACTGTTAGTGTCGACATTGTGATTACGGTATGCAGTATTTGACGCCATACAGGATATTCAAGAAAACCTGACTGTTTATAACAGAATCTCAACGCCTAGCTCTCATCGTTTCACTTCACATTCAATTTGAGATTGTCATGGATGGCGATAAAAGCAGAAAACATTTCCATCCGATGACGTCAGCGCGTTGTCCCCCTTTGGATGGGAACACGGTTGAAAGTTGGTCCACGTCCCGGGACCTTGACCAAATGATAACCAAGCAAAGTGAAGTGTCGTCTGCTTACTTGCAAAGACTAGAAAGAGATCGGAATCGCCTTCAAGAAGTTCAATTCAAAAGTATGCAGAACATTCCATACGGCATCAGGTAATGTTAATCAGAGTCATTCATATGTTTGTTTGATAAAACTGATACTATCATATGATTTTATAGTAAGATTGATATGTATTTTATGTAATCGTATGCATGGCGTATGTTCGAGAGCCGACGTTTTCATTTTGTGGTCAACAACGTTTGATAATACGATGATTCTGTGTTAAAATTGCTAAGAAAAAATGGGCTATACGGTAGCCTAGTGGTTAAAGCGTTCGAAGACCAGGTTCGATTCCCCAGTGCGGGAAGCCCATTTCTGGTGCCATCCGCCTTGATATAGCTGGAATATTGCTAAAACCGACGTAAAGCCATACTCATTGACTTTAGAAAAGGCTACCAAATGAGTGAGTGAGTAAGGTTATACGTCACCTTTACTCTACCCCACAGCTCCGACTTCCAAATAGATAGGGGGTCAGGCTCGGAGATGGTTAATGATGGGCCATCGTTGCCCGGCGAATTGTAGTTGTCAATACAAGTCACTGATTGGTCAGTTTACTGTTAAATATTTGAATATTGTTTAGTGTGGAGTTAAACAACAAACAAATCAAATCAAAATTGAAACGAAAATTTATTAACCCAGACCACGTTAGTACAGAAACTCACAGAACGTTGGGAATGTCTACATCAAGTTAAAAGTGAGTGAGTGAGTATGGTTTTACGCCGCTTTTAGCAATATTCCAGCAATATCATGGCGGGGTACACCAGAAATGGGCTTCACACATTGTACCCATGTGGGGAATCGAACCCGGGTCTTCTGCATGACGAGCCAACGCTTTCACCACTGGGTTACCCACCGCCCCTAAAGTTAAAAGGGATACTTTTAAATAGATTAGTAAATCCAAACGTTTGTCACAGCTGGCGCTTAACCAGGGAAAGCATCATCGGAATTAACAGCATCTCACTGTAATCTGCTTACAGACCTAGCATATATGGTGTAAGGACGCTGATTGTCATTTAACTTAGTTTTACAACAAGAGGGTACGATGGGGTAGCTAAATTAGTAAATCTGGAAGCCAAGGTTCGAATCCTCTCGTGGGTACAATGGGTAAACCTCATTTCTAGCGTCCCCAGGAGTGATATTACTGGAATGTGTGGCGTACCTCACCCAACCGGACTTACTCACTCACATAAGAGAGACAAGCCAACTTACTCACTTAAAGGTCACATGCAACGTAAAACACAACTTTGCAGATTCTGATACCTTTCGGTATGGACTTACCGAAACAAATCATCAAAAATGCAAATTCAACTTATAAAGTTGAAAAATAACGCGATGAGAAAAAACGCGCGAAATCGGAGTTCAAACGTTTCACTAATTTTCCCCAGACTTTTCTGGGGAATACGGGTTTCAACAGCTAGGCTGCGCTCTTAGCACGTGCGCTGTGAAATAGGTTCGCGCAACTTGGAAGCGGGCTGTCTGGTGAATACTCGGTGAAGGCTTTGGCTTTTCTAATGTTTGTTGATATCTCACAGGCGCGAGCTTTTTATATGTTATGACAGTAAATTAACTGTTTATATAATTTCATATATCTATTTCACCACACGTTCTTCTTACCGAGTCACTTTCTCATTTCGATACTTAAAAGCAATGTCATTATTTAGCGTTGACAGAATTTCTAACTGTGATATAGATATGTCGTTGTCACAGACAAAACTCAATGTCTTGTTTTATTGACACCTGTGTGTCTGCCTGCCTGTCTGCTAATGGCAATATTCAATACACAGCTGCTATCACTGACCACATGCAATTAAAACTTAACACCAATCAGGCTATACACCATAAACAAAATGCATTGATTTATGGCCCGAGTTCGGCCTCTGTCACATTATGTAATTACACAGACAGGCAGGTGTGATACTTGAACACATGACATGTTATGATGTCTGTTGATGGCAAAATGTTTTACACAAAAAATGAGCATGTATTTACAAAACCCAACATCTCTATATATACACACACAATGACCCGTGAGGGCATCTGCAAATGAACCAGCCGTTACACTTGAGTGCACACCCACCCGCTCTGACTGGGTTCGGTATCCCGGCTGCTTCGTTTCTTGGGAAGTAAACCGAAGTACACAATATTGCACTTTTGATTTGCGATTATACGCTTATAATTTTGTTTATATGTTTTTTCATAACCAGCAATGTATATTATATGCCATGAATAAGTGACAATTGTGTTTTAATTATGTTTGATTTTTTGGTTGAGACAACTCAGCTTATTCACTCACTTAAGAGAGACAAGCCAGCTTACCCACTTAAGAGAGACAACCAAACTTACTTAAGAGAGACAAACTCCACGGTCTGGTTCCTACGGGGAAAAGTGCATGATATACATTAAACCTGCCAGGGTGCCGTTGCAGAAATCGATCTTAGAGGTAAGGTGACCGTAACTCCGATACCTTAACACTGGATTACGGAAATCGTAGAGCAAGGTAGTTTTGTACCAACGACACCCAGGAATGCCAATCTGCTTGATCCTACTCGACCTTTAAACCCGATCATGTTCACGGTTTCAACGCACTTGGGTACACTCGGATTGTTCCGCTGCACATGTAAAACATGGGACAGGAAGGGAATACATGGCGATATTGCTTGAATTCACTGTAATCATTGCAACGTCAGATTGCGCCGCACAAAGTAGTTCTATGACGAAGACGTTTTCGAAAACATTCTATTTTGGATGTTAATGTTGAAAGGGAACATTAGCCAAGGATATCCAAGGTTTCCACCTTTGTTGGTTGTGCCCAGGATGAAAGGTTCTTTTATACCATCAATAAACTTCCGGGGTAAATTGCCTAAGATTATTGATGTGTCTTGTCAGGGTTTGACAATTCACGAGCCGGAGTGAACGTCTTGTAGCTCAAATATGGCTGATCTGATGACCAAAAGCACTAATCTCTCAAAGTCGCTATTACGTACCACATATGTTTTTATTCATCGTGTCACTTCATAGCCTTGCCGGAAATTGTCGACTTCTCGATTCGGCGTGACATTATTTCAATTCTAGGCATCGTTTTGTATGATTTGAACCTTAAAAAGAATAAATGTCACGGTTTAACAACCTTTGGCATGCAAACACCAATAGATGTAACATATTTACAACCACCGATACGGCCAGTGTCTATCGTTACGTGCACAATGATATATTTACCCTGCTCGTCCCAAAAATAGAAACAGATATAAAACGGACATCGTAATTGATTATTCAATATCGGACACGAGAGACAGTCTGATTGCGTGCTATATCATTCTGCCCAATCCGGGGCGAGTATCTAAGCCTCCAGTGTGAGGTCTCGCCACTAGGCCAGCATTAGAGATCTCGTTGGTCTTGATGATTGACGTGTTGTGTCAGGTGATAATACAGTTGCTCATAGCACCTGGTGGCAGACGACATCCCGGGCTCACATTCACCGCGGGTCAGACGACATTGTGGGCTCTATTGGGAACGTACTAAAACTGTAGTGAACAAAGAGGGGAGAATGCGATACACATTTCCACATGTTTTAGATTCATCCAAATACATCACTCACTCACACTCTCTGTCTCCCTCTGATCACTGGATTGTCGGATCCAGACTCGATTATTTAGAGACCGCCTCTATATAGCTGGAATATTGCTGAGTGCGGCGTATAAGCCCAAACTCACTCACTCACTCTCTGTCTCTCTCACTCACTCACTCACTCACCCACCTACCCACCCACCCACCCACTTACTCAGTTGTAATTACCAGTGCCACCAGTACTACTATCAATTCAGCGCAGGAATGTCTGATACGGGATAGAATAGGTCTTCAGCAACCCATGCTTGCCATAAAAGGCGACTATGCTTGTCGTAAGAGGCGACTAACGGGATCGGGTGGTCAGGCTCGCTAGCTTGGTTGACACATGTCGTCGGTTCCCAATCGCGCAGATCGGTGCTCATGCTGTTGATCACTGGATTGTCTGGCCCAGAGTCGATTGTTTACAGACCGCCTCCATATAGCTGGAATATTGCTGAGTGCGGCGTAAAACTAAACTCATTCACTCACTGGCATATAGCCGAGTGCATACACAGACACGCCCACGCACACACCCCGCTGTTCTCGCTACCACTCGCGCTGTGGTCACAACCACAGCCCACAGCTCCACTGCGGCTAACAACTACATTTCCTGATTAGTATGAAATTTACTCTTACCCACACAAAGTTATCACACGTATGTACAACAACCTGTAATTTAATCTGTGAAAATAGGACCATAAATATAGCCCAGCTGGTTAAACTGGGATCTCCCTGAATCCCATTTCATGCATGTCCTAAGCAGCTTTTACATACACCCAGACAGCCAGAGGGAATTCGTGATAATTGGCTGAGATTGTCTCGGCCTCGCGACACCATTGTTCAAACGCCTGCCCAAGGCAACTTTCCTTACATAACAGAAATTCAATGAGCTTTGTCGGAACTTTCCGTGATGTGTAATAAAACACGATGACATGTGTTGGCGCCCTCTTTCAACGTAAATACCAATTACGATGTTCTTAACGATATCCAGGCTACTGGTTGATGGGACCGATATACATTCAAGGCTATGTAACGGCACGGGCCCTTATCAGATTTGTATATGCACAGTTAGAATCTCCTGAACACCTGAGCTGTATATTTATTCAGCAGAGCCATACCTGTAACAGTACATCTGTGGCATTTGAAAGGTAAGTACTGTCATGGGTGCGAATTGGTTCTCGAATGCGCTTGGGTCTGTGTTGACATCGTGTGAAGTGGAAAAGTTTTAAAGGTAAACAGTATTACATTCAGCGCATGGCTGACATTTTAGTGGCTAATGTTTCGTAATGGTTGTGTTTTGTTTGGGATGCATTCCACTAACAGACTGCGAGCTCTATTGTTTATTTGAGAAGCTGTACATATGGTGTGATGATGACTCCCGTCCCTTATACCGATAAAACACAAAGTACCGTTGAAAGATTTGCGGTGATAGTGTTTAGATAGACATGTGAATGTGTTTCCGTCTATCTCCTGATTGTCTAGTTTGTTTGCATGTTGCCGTGTGCTTTCAGGAGAACTGCGCATTGTCAAATAAATACTTTTTTTCTTATTTTATGCAATTTCAGTGCCTGGCGGGGTTCGGAATGGGCGGGGTAGCCTAATGGTTAAAGCGTCCGTTCGTTAAAGCGCTCCATTCATATTACTTTCATTGCTCTTCTATGTCATCGTATCCCAATTCCCTAGATCGGTGCCTATGCTGTTGATTACTGGACAGTGTGTTCCAGACTCGATATTATGTTCAGTGAGTGAGTGAGTGAGTTGAGTTTCACGCCGCACTCAGCAATTTTCCAGCTATTTGGCGGCGGTCTGTAAATAATCGAGTCTGGACCAGACAATCCAGTAATCAACAGCATAAGCATCTATCTGCGCAATTGGGAACCGATGACATGTGTCAACCAAGTCAGCGAGCCTGACCACCTGATCCCGTTAGTCGCCTCTTACGACAAGCATGGGTTACTGAAGGCCAATATTCTACCCCGGACCTTGACGGGTCCGATTATGTTCAGAGCGTCCCCATATAGCTGGAATATTACTGACAGCGACGATCAACAACAACCAAACAACAGTCACTGCTCTTTTGCCTCTTTCCGCCTTATGGAATTTGTTTCGTCGCATATTAGAAGCATATTTTTGTCTTTCGCTGAAGTTTTTCATGTCTTCCTCGCAGCGGGCGTTGCCCAGATGTCTCCCCTTGCCGGGGCAGGATCTACAAACAAGTTGGGACACCCAAGTAGGAAGAAATAAACTATATGAATTGAAGCCAACAATTGGTTATACCTACTTGGGTTGTCAGTCAAGACGTGATGAGGTAGTTCTACGACGATGTCGTATTGGCCACAGTCGGTTTACACATGACTATCTGCTGAGAACGGATGGGGATGGACCTCCCATGTGTGTCTCTTGCGATGAAGTGTTCACCATCAAAATATATTCTGCTTGACTGTGTGGACTTTTCGACTGCAAGGGATTCACATTATGATGCGAGAAATCTGAAAGATCTGTTTTACCGCGTGAGCGGGCATCTCATTGTCAGCTACCTGAGGGAAGTTGACCTGTACCATAGATTGTAACCATGTAATGTGAATGACGGATTCCTTGTTTTTGAATTAGTACTGTGGCGGTTTCTGTTTGTAAATACTAATGGATTGAATATATTTGTTTATAAAATAAAACTCATTTGGACTGTGTACTTGAAATATCCATGAATACAGACTTGTTCTCGTCACTGTATGGCTGGAATAATGCCGATGTGACGCAAAGCCAAACTCAACACTAAACTCAACAGTAAAATGGCAAATAATTTCGCCTCACGTTTACTTGATGTGAGTGCAGTACGGACAGGAATTTGTTGAAGCCATGTGCCTAATAAACATGCAAACAGTGGAGGATATTCAACAAAAGGGTATCAGAACTATTGATATGTTATATACTTAATGTGATACACAGTTTAACAATGTGACATGGACATCTGACTGATATTTGCATATAAGCCGTTGAACGTCAGAGCACCGTAGAAACCATGAAAGCCACACTTATTCAAATCGCATGGATCCGCCTCTATTTCCAAGACAATCAGGGCGGTGGGGTAGCCTAGTGGTTAAAGCGTTCGCTCGTCACGAAGACCCGGGTTCGATTCCCCACATGGGTATTATGTGTAAAGCCCATTCCTGGTGTCCCCCGCCGTGATGTTGCTGTTGCACAAAGCGACCGAAGCTTGAAAGTGGTCGTAAATCCCTTCTCTTAACATAGGCTTACATGGCTGTTGTCTTCCACACGTCTTTCCGCATCCATATTACTCTATTACATCGCAGGTTCTCTCAAACCTCACTTCGATTATGAATATAATGTGAAGCCCCGTTAAATGAACGTGATTCTTCGCTTAGCAAGTATTGCACTAATGGTCTTCTGTTGGGATTACACTTTCCCGTTGTTGGTCTTCTTGAGTGAAATACAGCGTGTGTTTACAATGGTCGTATCGTATAGATTGCTTTATGTACTAATGCTGGCTTTAAAGTTCTAAGCACTGAAATACCATACCGATGGTTTACACTGTTTGTTGTCTAACGTCAAACCCACTCAGCAATTTTTCAGTAACATGACGGCGGTCTGTAAATCGAGTCTGGACCATACGATGCAGTGATTTACATCTTGAGCATCAATCTACCCATTTAGGATACGATGTCATGTGTCAACCACGTCAGAGAGCCTGACCACACGGTCCTGTTAGTCGCCTCGTACGCCGAGCATCCCAGTGTCCGAAAAAAAACATTCTTGACGATATAACAACGGTACAGATAAAACACTCACATATATCCTGTCTATATTAAACTATAAAACATAGGGCTGTAACGATGCATCGATGCATTGTAATTGTTGAGTCTCCGATAGCAATTAATCGATGGTAGAAACGAAAAATTATCGATGCATGGATAGTATGTGTGGCTATCGATAGTTTAGTAATTGACTTCCGTTGATAAAGCGCAGCGCAAAATACAGGATGTTTGGATGCAGACTTGCAGCTTCATTGAGTTTATGTTTTAACTGTTTACTTCATCTGGGTTTCAAGTTTCTTGTCACTCATTAGAAGAGACTGAAACTACCTCAAATTGTTTTTATTTCATAAAAACTATACATTCATTTGGGAAATGACATCAAATGAGACAATTCAAGGAGAAAAAAACTATTGCAATAGTATTGCAATAGTGGGTCGCAATAGACTATCGCTATCGCAATAGTACGTTGTAATAGACTATCGCTACCGCAATAGTTGTTTCCCCCCTCAATAGTCACCCCTAATAAAACATGTTTGTTTCTGATTAAATACAACGTGATGGTACCATTGCTTGTTTATCCCCACCTGGCCAGTAATATCGCCTATGTAATACCATGTATTATTCCCAGTCTGAATGTGCGATTACAGTAATCCTAATCCGATCATTATCGGAGCCGTGCCTAAGGTAAAGACCCGCGTAAAGCTAATACATGTTATAATATTTCCTACACAAACATGTGATAGGCCCCTTGTTAAATACATTTACATAAATACACCATAATTGTATGCTTTGTCGCGAAACACCATATTAGGTTCACTCGACACGATAATGACAAATTACATACTCTAGGCGAAAAGCTTGTTTGTTATACTGAACTAGTTCACTTGGGTATGGAAACTGTCAGAATGAATCAAATATTCTCCTTAATCCTTCACTTCAACATAAAATGTTTCGATTCACGTGCTTCGTATTATCCACAACATGACGGAGAAATAATTTCAGTTCATTTCTGTACAAATATATATGTTCAGTTATTGAGTAATGTTGAACAAAATAGATTATTCCAATTTTCTTTTCAGAGAAATGATCAGCTCTCCTGATACAAACCAGGGCGTGGCGATCCGGAGATGGGTAGCTCTTCCAAGAACCTCCCCACGTCAGACGAAGAAGACCCATACCCCTCAGACTGACCCTAAAGGAGTTCACCCAGAAGCCACACCAAGACGTACACAACCATCCCATCGTGAAACTGTTGTGTCGACCCCTCGTAATGGTCTTCGCCATTCCGTGCCCAACACTGCCAGAGATTCTGTCAACGATGACGAAGTATTTGGTGTCACCAACGTCCCCTTCAAATGTCCTTCTTTGTCGAGTTCCAGGAAGAAGAACTGTTGCATTCCTTCCCGACTGGACTCTCAGATCGCTCTGAGGAAAGCTATGAGGTCGCAGATAGAGCAACAGAGGAGCTCTGCTCTAACAAACCATGTCCAATTTGTGACTTCAAATACTCTGAATGGGACCCGACTGACTCCACCAAAGGGCCTAGTGAGGCCAGGAAGGGTGAATGATACACACTCATTTCATAGACCGATGGCAGATGGAAACTTGGAACTGTTGGCAATATTGTCAGTGCAAGAACATAACATTCCTATGGCCGTGGACGAGGAGTTGTCCTTGAATGATACATATGACTAAACAAAATAGGGCCAAGTCACAGAAAGTCGACAAATGCCTTTTTATACGCTTTAATGTATTTCCACCTCGTTTTGAAAAACTCTTTGAGACTGACATTACATGAGATGTTACAACAGGACAATTTCTTCACGAGTTGACAACAGGATGATATCAATATACAGTGATAGTTTCCTTGTTCTGTGTTAAGTTACTTAGTATATCTTGAAAATAATGTATCAATGAAATTATTACATTACTGAAATTTGGTATTGAAGAAGAGTGAGTTAAAACTTTAAGTCACATCGGCATTATTGCAGCCATATCGTGACTAAAACTAGTTCTAAGTTCATGATAAATACATATAATTTATAAAACCCTGTCAGTCTAAGTAAACCTAGGCTCGGTATTATTCGTTACACTGCTATACTGAGTCTAACAAAACCTAGTAGAAGGTCGCGTCAGCTACAGTAATCCTAATCCAAATGAAATTGTAACCTGAGCCGTGTCTACTGTATCGCTTTACGCTGACATCATATACTCTCCCAAAAAAGAAACGCATATAGGAATTTCAACTGTATTTTTATGTTTATTTTGAAACATCTTGTAGGCTTTATGAATCAATGAAATATAGCGAAATTGCACACTGGGAATGCAGACTTATCCGTCTTTGGCACCAACTCGAGGCAAGTCAGTTTGAGTGTCACATGGAGACGTGTGATGGCGCTGAAGTCAATACCTCGTGTGACCACCGTGGGCATCCAGAACTGCACGGCATCGCCTCGGCATCGAACGAATAAGTCTCAGAATCTCGTGTTGCCCAATCGCAGCCCACTCTGCCTGTAGTGCCTGTGCGAGTTGCTGAAGTGTCTGGGGCTGAGGGTTACGGCGTCGCACCCGTCTGTCCAGGGCATCCCACAGATGTTCGATCGGGTTGAAGTCCGGTGATCTTGAGGGCCAGGGGAGCACATTGATGTTGTGGTTCTGGAGGAAGTCTCTAGTGTGACGTGCTGTGTGGGGCCTGGCATTGTCCTGTTGAAACAACTCCCTCTGGCGATCAATGATTGGAAGGAGGTGTTGGCGTAGGATTTCGTCACAGTACCATTGAGCTGTCGGGTTGCCCTGGATCATCACCAAATCACTTCTCCTACGGCAGGTGATCGCTCCCCACATCATAACACTGCCCCGGCCGAATCTGTTTACCTGGGGAACGCAAGCGTCGGCGAAACGTTCACGTCGACGTCTGTACACCCGCATTCTTCCATCGCGTCGTTCCAATAGAAATCGTGATTCATCACTGAACCAGATTCTACGCCAATTCGGTAGATTCCAGGCCTGAACGTTGGTGCACCATTGAACTCGATGTCGACGATGTTGTTGTCGAAGCACAGGTCCAAAATAAGGTCTGCTGGCACGTAAACCAGCCTCTCTCAACCTGTTCCTGACGGTCCGTTCAGAAAGCCTCCTCAATCCGGGTATTTGTCGAGCGGTACTGGTCGCCGTAGCTGTTCGATGACGCAGGTGATGTACCCGGATGTAGCGATCCTGCGCCGCAGTGGTCGCTCGAGGTCGCCCACTACGAGGGGCATCTGCTACCGCATTCTGCCGGCGATATCTCTCCCAGAGCCGTGAAATGGTGCTTTAGTGAACATTCATGCGTCGGGCAACTGCACGTTGAGACTGGCCAGCTTCAAGCAAACCAATGGCGATATGACGGTTGGCTTCACTTAGACGTTGCATTTTGCGTTCGTCAACAATATTCCAAATACAGTGAATAATGGACAGACAGCGATCACCTTTTATACCCATCAATGAGACTATCTGATCCCCAACTTTCACGTACATTGCATGTGAATTGTGTATTTTGTGACACTACACGCCGAAATTGAAAATCATGCTGTTAAATACGGGTATTTTGCGGATGGTGCGTTTTGTTGTGATGTTTCAAAACATAAACACCATAGGACTCATAAACAGAGCAAAACCTTTTTTTAAAATGAATCACGTTTTAATTCATTGCTACATGAAATTGCTATTTTCATGATGCGTTTCTTTTTTTTGGGAGAGTATATTACGGACACACATCAGTGTACTTGTCTCCCTGTTTATGATTTTCAAAATCATTTGAAATTTGGTACGATGAACAAAGGACACAGTACTATTGATGTGCAGCTTCTTTATTACAGTGAGCGAGTTTAGTTTTACGCCGCACTCAGCAATATTCCAGCTATATGGCGGCTTCTTTATTACAACGAGTGCGACGTTTTGGTGTAGATATGAACAATTCCTTCTAGAAAGTGATCACATGCAACATATGTTATGTTTGGACATTACACTTTATCAGTAAAGTACAGATTCTAGTACTTTTGTTATGCTGAGTCCCATCATAGTGAGGCACCTAATCGACAGACCACAAAGTCAGCCATCTAACCCACTCAGCCCCCGCAGCTTCCAAAAAAATGGAAATCGGACGTCTAATAGTGTAAACTGACAGTGCTTCCAAGGCCGAAGATTGGTATAAATGAATGAACTGTAACATGTACTTTACTGAGAAAGTGTAATCCCAAATATAACATATGTTAGAGATACTGTCATCATTTTATCAAGCATGTGAAGTACAGAATTGTGAAGTAGAAAGGCTATATACATGTGGAGAGTTGACGGTTTATACAAGGTTAAATGTTGGCAGATTGACGTTTACACAACAGTAAGTGAGTTACAGTTTAACGTCACCTCGGCAATAGTTCAGCCATATAGTAGTGAGTGAGTAAGTTTAGTTTTACGCCGCACTCAGCAATATTCCAGCTATATGGCGGCGGTCACTACATAGTCGAGTTTGGACCAGACAATCCAGGGATCAACAGCATGAGCATCGATACGATGACATGCAGTCATATAGTAACGAGAAAGGTTTTGCATACATAATAAATACAAGTTGATAATAGACCAGTCATCAAAGGACTGTAAAATAACTAGAGTATCACAGATGACGTTTAAAACTAGCATGTAAATCTAAAACTATTTTACTTAAGAAGACAATACAATATACAACAGGCTATAGTTCGCGACCAACTGATGGTAGATCACCACACAAGGAACCGAGGGGACTTGCAGTGATTTGCTACCTTTACACAACAGATAATGTTGCTAATTACAATAACTAAATGTTACAAAAGAAATCCACGAACGCAGATAGGGATTGCAAACACATGAATCTCGGAGAGTGAGTGAGTGAGTTTAGTTTTACGCCGCACCCAGAAATACTCCAGCTATATGGCGGCGGTCTGTAAATAATCGAGTCTGGATCAGACAATCCAGTGATCAACAGCATGAGCATCGATCTGCGCAATTGGGAACCGATGACATGTGTCAACCAAGTCAGCGAGCCTGACCACCCGATCCCGTTAGTCGCCTCTTACGACAAGCATAGTCGCCTTTTGTGGCAAGCATGGGTTGCTGAAAACCTATTCTACCCCGGATCTTCACGGGTCGAATCTCGGAGAAATATTCGATCGTGTTGAAGTTGTCCCTGTACTTGACACTTCTGTTCTTAAATTAAATTTCTTCGTTGGATAGTCAATAGTCGTTGTCGCTTGTCCTACTGTTGACTGTATTTGTGCCGGACAGATACCCCGTGCAATGTCTCCTGTACCCACCCCTTCACTGTTGTGGTGTTGCTACTGTAACCATGTAACTAGTGAGTGGAATAAAATGAAAAAGATATAAAGAAATAAAAATATATATACACATCCGTCACACAGACAGGGAGTGAGTTTAGTTTTTCTCCGCTTTTAGCAATATTCCAGCAATATCACAGTAGGGGACACCAGAAATGGGCTTCACACATTGGAATCGAACCCGGGTCTTAGGCGTGACGAGCGAACGCTTTAACCACTAGGCTACCCCACCGCCCCAGTATGATAAGTGCTGGACAAGGTACAACACACTGCGATGGGAGAGGTTAGAGCCGCTATATCTGTCATTATTCATGATATTGTACAGGTATTGTTTGTATGATGGAGGGAAGAGCGCTAACGAGGATCATTTATTATTTTTCTGATTTTGTGTACCCAGTCAATAACTAAAATATCATTGTGAATCTATAGGTGCGTACCCACATTATAGCCAACAGCCATTGCATAGGCTATGTTGGAAGTGTGAATTGGTTATACGTCAATAAAAAACTTTCACGTGATATCAACATTAATGTGAACACATTTAGTAAAGCTTTGAGTGTATGTTATAAAAGCATGATAGTTTCCTAATGCATCATTGGCAGTAGGCTACTGGGTTGTTAAAAAATTCAAAACTACCTAATGTTCTGACGTCGGAAATAATATGGCATATTTAAATGTTTGTACGTTTGGCGTCAGTGGCACAACACTGAGATGTAATGGTTAGCTTATTGAACAACATGGCATTATCCAACATTATATACATCATAGATATCTTATTGCCGATTCCTGTCGTTTCCTGGAAAATGGTCTCCTTGCATTAGTTTTCCTGCAGCTTAAAAACATCTTAAAACAAGTGGCCATGTTTTCTAAAAGGACACATACATTTATGTTAAGGGGGCTTTTGGCATTCAAATACAACAATAACAAGAACTGAATAACAATAACAGGCATCGTGATTGGCTAATGTATTGAAAGGAATAGTTCCGAACAACATGTATCTGTACATATTGCTAAAGTAATATTGATATTGACCCCCTGTCTAGTGTCTTTTCAGTCATGTGTTCTCTCATAACTTTGTAATATATTGTATCCACATTAAGGTGATCACAATTTGCAACTGAATGTAGGGTCATCAAGGTTACCCATTTCTTTGTCGTAATTGTTTTTAGACAGATTCAAAACTTCCAAATATAAGTCCACATACTGTATATCTTCTTAATCTTTCTTTCTAGAAATGCCTCTGGTTAATTTGGGGTTGGGACATTTTGGCAAGAAGTAAACATACCCATGGTGACCGAATTCGAATGTATTTTTGTCTATTGATCAATTTTCTTGATTCTTCATGTATTATGATACGTTCACGTTATCGCGAATATCAGGTATAATCACTGTTAAATAGTGATTAATTAACACGTGATCATAACACAGCCCCAAAGAGTAAATTCTCAAAGATAATTCTTGAAAAAACATCAGCTTCAGAAAAAAATGTTTGCCACACGTTTTTAAAACAATCATAG